AAAAAAAAAAAAAAAAAAAAGATTTCTCTCCATCTCTGTCCCTTATTTTTTAAATATTAGATATTTCCTACAGTTGGCCTAGTAGAGCTTTTTTGAAACTATGTGGAGGTTTTCTTTCTATATCATGATGATAACAGCACAATTTCAAAAAGGGTAAAGTTTCCTAGCTGCCTTAGGTTCTGTGGCCAAGCCTGAGATGGCGATTCTCGTTCAAGCGATCTATTGTGGGAGTTAGAAAAGCAGGATGGGGCAGCAGGAAAAGGCTAGTACGTTTGTGGTCTCAGTGGATCCTGGATTCAGCCTTGCCCCAGGGAGCTCTGCAGCATGACTGACACCACAGAGCCAAGTCCCATCTGAAGCACAGGTCAGTCACCTTCTAGGGTTTTGAGGGAGGGGGTCGGGTGAGGGATCTCGCGTCCTGCTTGATGAGGCTCCCATTTGACTGAGAAGAGTTATCCAGAGAAGAGTTCACTTAAAGGGTGTTTTCAGCTGTCCCAGCAGTTGGGGGATGGCTGCTCCCAAAGGTAAAGGGATGCAGGTGGGACAATAACAGCATCCACCCTCCTGGCCAACTGAACACATTTATGAAACAGTCCTTACTGTGTTCAGGAAGAAAAAGTTCTTAATGTATTTCACTCTTTCAACAGCATTATACATTCTTAAAACACTTTCTTCCTTTGGAATCTGTGAACTACATTTCCATGCTTTTTTCTGAGGGTCTTTCATGGTTCTTTCTTTTCCAGTTAGGCCTTCAATGCCAGTATTCCTCTACTGTCTGTCCTAGCTCTTCCTCATCTTCTACACTCTCTCCCTCAGTGACTGCTTCCATTCTCAAAGCTTTAATTCAAGTGAGATGCTATTTATTTCAAAATCTATATTTACAGCTCTATCTCGAGCCATGAGTTTGATCCTCAGTTCCAAATCTATATAACCCACTGCCTTCAAATCATCTCCACTTGGATTCCCCACAGGCAGTTCACATTCAAAAGGTTGAAAATTAAATATATGATTCCCCCCTCTAGAATGTTCTTTTTCTCCAGTCTTCCATATCTCAATAAATGGCATCACCATCCATCCAGTTGTTCAAAGCAAAAATGCAGGAGCCATCCTGTATCCTCTTTTTACCCTACACCCTCCATCCACTCACTAATTCCTTTCAATGCACATCCTCAGTATTTCTCTACATCTTTCATGTCATTACTCTGATGCAAGGCACTGTTATCTCTACCCTGAGCCACAGCACAGCCCACCAACCTCTTTCCATGAATTCAGTCTCACCCCATAATTCACTCTCTTTGCATTACAGCAGATTAATCTTTCTAAAATAGAAAATAGAACTAAAATTCAAACTCATGGTAATGACTAACAATGTCTACGTTATCTGTCTCCTGTCTACTCTACTTTTCTACCATCATTATAAGCAACATCATGTTGCTTATAGTGCTTATATGCTTGATCTAGCCATATACTGGATGCTTTATCAGTTTCTAAAAACTCCGTACTTTTTCTCACATTGAGGTCTTTACAGGTGCTGTTCCTTTCTTCCTACTCACACCCACAATGTAAGCCTTTCACCTGGTTAACCCTGAATCAACGATCAGACATCAATTTAAAAGTCCCTTCCTCAGGGACGGGACCTTAAGATGTTTACAGTCTCCCTCAGCATCCTGAATTTTCTCTACTGCAATGGTCATTGCTTATCATACTTAATTGTAATTATTTGACGTCTGTTGTCCCTAGCAATAAAAGTCCTCTGTGAGAGCAGAGACTGTCTTTCTTTTCATGAATATAACCCCTGATTCTAAGAACAATGCCATTATATAGCAGGTGCTATATAGGAATGAATATATAGAGGAATGATTTATAGGGCCTGCTTTTACTCTAAATTCATTGAATTGAGCACCCCAGATTCTGCTGTAATTTGATGAGGTGAATTGAACCAGAAAGTATTTAATCGGAACATCTCTATTATTAACCTCTGGTCCCATACGGGTTCTGTCCACATGCTACCAGAAAAAATATATATTTTTCAAAATATTCTACTGAATAGAGGTCCTATGAGGTCTAGTGTTCCAGGCAGAAAAGAGAGGACACGCATGCCTCATAATTCATATGAGACTAGCTGGGTCCCATTGCTGGCTTCTCAGAAGGGGAGCATGGCAGGACCCCTGGCAGGGAATTGGGTAGAGGAGAGGGCAGTCGGTGTCTCCCTCCAGAGTGCACTCACGGAAACTGACCCATTAGAAAGACTCCCTCTTCAGTTATCTGACATTCCCACAAACATGAATTCAAAATCCACTTGTTTTTCTTTTTTTTTTTTTTTTACACTCTTTGCCTCTTCTCACTCTTTGTCTTTATCCACTCTGTTCACCCCCAGACACCCGTGGGAAGCAACTCACATGGAAGAGAACCCAGCTTCCTGTGTGCGCTCTTATTCCTCTGTGAGATACCTCTGATTTCACTCTCAGCTCCTTCCAAACTCCACTTGCCTAACATCAAACTCTTCTCTACTAGTTGTTCTTTATTTTTTTTATTTTTTTTTTACTCCAACTAGCTTTTGAAAGCTTTTAAAAGGAAAACATTACTTTTATCCTCTACATTACAAAGACTGGAGATCAATAACCCCACTGGGTAAATCATAAATGGATCACACCGAGGTAACACCGAAGGAGAAAGTAAAAGCTAGGGGCAGTGGGGAAGGTGGTTGAGTCACTACAAAATTATAAACACTTTTATTAACTCACAAATGGAATGTGACAAAATGAAAAAAGAAAAAAAAAGTAGTTGAATGAGGGGACTTATTATGAAAGTTGCAAAGTTCCCAGGTATGAAAATTAAAAATCAGGGAAGCTTTCACTGGTTAGTGTTGATCATGGTTGGGCAGCCCTTGAGGCTGGAATCCCAAGTATAGCTTGACCAGTATCTCGTCCATGAGGAGAACAAGAATACTCATCCTATTAGACTCCTGGAATCTAAAAACATATACATCCCTATCTTGATCGAATATGCACAATCTAATCTAATCTTCTACTAATCCCACAAATCTAATTACAATTTACTGTTTTTGAGTTTTCTCATTTTCATATGTAGGAGTCTAGTGGATAGAAGGAGGGAAGAAAACTTATCCTAACAACATTATGTGAAAGAAAAATGGCATACAAAATAAGGTAGCAATTAACAGAAGAGGTAAAAGTCACTAAGAAGAAATTGAACACTACCTGAGAGACTCGAGTGGCCTCCTCTAGGAACTTTTTCATTTCATCCTCAGAGAATACCACATTCATGGCAGACCCACTGGGAAAAGAGAAAAAGAAAAGGCAGGTCAGTTTCATTCTAGCATGCTAGACTCAAATGATTCTCAGAACAGTTTCAGGCAACCTCTAGTTCCAGTCTGGGCTGAATAGGAAGATGCCTTGCTCTAAATTGAGACTTTACTCCATTTAGTCACCAGGACAATTGACCCAAGTATAAAGTAACCGAAGTAGAGGATAGAAAAAGAAGGTGGGAACTATAATAATGCCTGAAGAGAAGAGAAAACTGGTAACTCTAGAGATTGTTCTTCTCCAATCTTTGCCCTTTCTGATTTAGTTTTAGCATTCCACTGCTTCCGGGTAGTTCTTAGACCTTAACAGGAGTCAGCCCAGAA